GGTGAAAAAGCGAAGTGAAACGGTCAAAACCTGCAAAAAAGTCTTTGTTCTACACGACTCAGAAAGCGATTTCGGACGAGTTTCCCGTAGGCATCTTGCCAATAACCGCTACGGTAGGTACGGCTGCACGTATGTACTCATATATCCATGCAGCACCGCGGCCGCTTCATATCAATCCCTTCGCTTCATATTGTACTTCGCAAATGAAGCGATACGAGCATCAGCATCAGTCGGACATTTGTGGGCGGGCGGGCGCGGTGGGCGTTCGGGTCGGTATGTTGCAGCTTGATAAAGCGCTATAAGGTACTTCTCTCGGAAGAGTCGCCACGCAGCGCCAGCACAGGGCGCCGAATTCTGTCCTGCTAGGCGCAGTAGTCCTACACGTCTTTGGGATTTATCGTGCCACTTGCCTTTACACTCGTCAACACTACACTAACACTTGTCACCTTTAACTTTGAGAACATCACTAATTCGATTTCAGTTTGTAAAATGTGGTTACGCGGGAACCAATTTTCCGACACACATATTTCCATCGCTGGTAGGCCGACCTCTCGTAAGATCATCCCAAAAAGTCGGCAACATAGAGATCAAGGTTGGTGATGTTCATTATATTTTGCCTTTCATAGTCTCTTCCAATGTCAGTAACTTCCGAAGTGGTTCAGTAGAATAACCTTTCCCCGTAATTTACATTGCTGTGACAAAAACATGACTGAGCTGCTCGTTTGCTTCTGATGGCAATTTATCGCCAAATATAGTGGCTTTTGGCGCTGCTCGGCTTGGAGGGGGCATTTTCATCCCTTTTAATTGTTACATAGTCTCACTTCAATGATCCTGTAAAGTTCTGTGAAGTGGTGGAAGTGAGCACTTTGATTTGGTCACAGGGGTTGACAGGTCTTCACAAGGTTTCATCTACAAACTTGGTCTGGCAGCATTCGGTGTCCGCACGAAGCCGAACTGTGCCGTCAATTTTTGGTTTTTCGGTCACAGTTGACTAAGATCGCAGTGAAGGCTACGATCAGAATTTGCTTCCGCTTCAAAAGGGAAGCTTGCACTACCGCAAGTGCCTTTCTCCGCACTTTCTCCAAATCGATTTCCGTCTATGCTTGCCAAAACATTTCACTTCAAAAAACATTTTCGCAATGATATCTGTGACTTTTCCTGTTCGGGAAAAAGTTAGTCGTTTGAAGAAGCCGTGATATGCTGTCAGCAGAGCTAACGTAGTTGAGAGTGTGGAGGGGAATCACTTGGCCGCCCTTCTATATCCCTTTCTCAAGTCAATGCTCACGCTTATGGTTAGTGAAGACTATACCTTTTCTGCGGTAATATTTCTTGGCAGCTCCGGTTGTGTGCACTTCAGGCTTGAGCCTTTCAGAAGAACAGATACAGAGTAACGGCAAAGTCGTCACCTCACTACGTTAGCGCCGCCGCTGTACTTCTTTTGTGAAGGAATTTGTACGTATAATCTTGCACTGCTTTGGTTCAGGGTGGGCAAGCATTTTGCGTAATAGCTCGTCGGGCCATGGTAATCCTTGATTTGCGCAGGCAGTTTTTTTTCTCCTTCGAATTTCAACATTTTGACGGCTTTTTGAGCTGACAGGTGCGAAAAAATTCTGCTAGGGGGTGAGACTTCTGCTCAAGACTCTACATAGGTGAAAGGAGCCTCGTAGTGGGTGAACCACATGTCTGGTTCCAAATGCATGGGACACTCAGCATCAAATTTTTCGTGTGTTGTGTGCAGTTGAAGTCTCGGAGATTCATTTGGCTAAGAAAACTGAGAACAAACTATACTGACAATCAACGCCGCATTCATACTTCGCGGGTCGAGCGATCCCCAAGTCGCGCGACCGCGGTTGACCGCGCTCCTCTGCAATATATTGGGCCGATGTGAACTTGAGTCCCAATACATCCTAGAAAGAACGCTTGGGACCGTTTCAGCTATCCATAATCATGAAGTGAAAGCTTCAGTCGGAGTCGCATGATTTGCAAGTTCCATTGCCGCGAATTATGGGAGATACCTAAAAGCTTCATAACCAAACTGTCCTTCAGGCTAAACGTGAGCAACTTAGAGGATAAAAAAAAACGACAAGCATGGGCACTGTTTCCCCGTTACTGCCCTCAGTCTTCCGAAACATGGCCAGTTTTGATTAGCTTTTTTCTCCGTGGGCAAAACTACCCAGAAATATGTTCTTGGCTAGTTGGACCTCCTGAACACTAATTTCACATTCGCGCGCCCCGAAGCCACCTCGCGCCCGCGCTACAGCACCGGCGCCAAAATGCCATTCACCAAAAATAGCTGGAAACCTGTTCCCCAGGAATAGTGCAACCTCTGGACGCGAATATCACACTCGCTGGGCCCGAAACCTCCTGGCGCCCGCGCTATAGGTGCCGGCGTCTAAATACTCCGGATCACGGGCTCTTATGGCGCTAGGGTCAGGAGGTTTAGTGCCGAGCGGATGTGATATTCAGGAGGGTTAGAGGTCAAATTACCCCAGGGGACAATATTTGAGTCGGGTCTGTCCACAGAGAAAAAAATCGATCAGAAACAAGCTCAATACCGGATGATTGGGGCAGTAGAGGAATAGCGCCCAGGAATGCCCCTTAATCATCTTTCAGAATTAAACGAAATGCCTATGTATCCTGAACTGGCGCCATTTTTCAATGTATACGAAAACGAACAAGCGAGTCTTTGGGACCTTTTTTGACTACCAAAAATGAACTTGGAAATGGACACAAACTTTAGACGAGTTTTCTGAATCTAGCCGCCGCCTCTTCCAGGGCATATCCGATAAGATTAGCTTTATCACGCTTAAGGAATCTTGATAAAAATATGATCGAGTTGGAACTAGCTTGAGGAGTTAGCCTATCGCTGCTGAGCAGCAAAGCTTCTATCAAGCGGTTTCGAGCGAAGAAAGTGGTGTACCCTCTGTGACTACGATCTCTGGTATCTTGTACACTATAAGGTTTCTGCATCTTGGTGATCGGGAATGCTGTCTTAAAAGTTCAGTATTGATGATGTACAAAACGCAGCTCTGAATGGTACCACAGCTATATGAGTTTTCGGCGCTGTTTATCGACGGGGGGGGGGGGCATTCTGCTTTTCATAGATTTGCCAACCCATCTAGGTACCCTTTTTTCGAGTTGACACGTTTTAGGATGGTGGCTAGACGATCCTGCTCCGGCTTCAAGCGTTCACAAGTTTTACCAGAGTGTGATTTGTAAACCGGAACCAGGGAAGCAATTATAATTCGAAATGCCCCCCGTCGATAAACAGCGCCTGGGTTTTGCTCTGATCCTCCTTGTGCTTCTCTCAATGTCTCCCTTCAGGATTTGATGGTAGGAGAAGAATGCTCACAATTACGCCAAATGCTTGATATATCGTATCCAATGGACAACGGTATCGTGCGTAACTGGGAGGATATGGGTCATGTTTGGGATCATACCTTTGGGCCAGAGAAATTAGACATTGATCCTAAGGTGAGTGAGTACAGCTCTCTGCGAAAAAGTGTTTCAGCAAATTTTATTGCAATTTTGTGCGCTTTTGTCTTGTTTTTTATGTTATTTTTTATATGTAATCAACTTGATAGCCTTCCTTGCCTCTATCTGAGCCTAAAAGGTCAAACAGCACATGGTCTTCATAACTACATGTGCCTCTACAGTGATGAAGACATTCCATTTTTCCATAACTGTCTATTCGAATGCTTTATCGATTACTATTGATCGAATTCTCGGGGAATTTCTCCAAAACCGGCGCTGTCAAATTGCTTCCTTCGAAAGGGTTTCTCTCAGATTAATCCCTCTATTGCTGAGGATTCTCGGAGTCATTATGGCATTAGAATGGGTCGTAGTCACTCACACTCCGTTTTCGATTGACTTCGACCGCGGTGTTTACGAGAGGATTATTTATACGATTCCCTTGCTGAATAGTAGACTTGAGAACGGTAGCATTGGGTTGCAGAGGGGAAAGTTTTTTTGCCAGAGGTCCGGGTAAGTTATTTTACCGGAAGGTTCCCATTCCATTCTGCTCAGATGTGTTCTGAATGATTTTATTGGATTACTCAACTTTTCTACCCGTTTAGTGATGAGATTGATCTTCAAGTACAAGGGAGGTGACTAAATGAGACACGCATTTAATCGATGGAAAACAAAGGGCATTACAATTTTGATGATGAGTCACTCCAAACCTGCCTACTAGTAAATAATTCGTTGGAGTATGAAGGGTGTTTCGGTTTCAAATGAGGGACCACGAAAATCCTATCCTTCCAAATAAAAGAAAGAAGGTTTTACTTCGGAGCCTAGAATTTTCTGAATCTATGTTTCCCCTATCTATTTTGGCTTCCACGCCGCGATTATTCGCAGGGTGCGAGAGATGACATTGTGGATGCTCGAAGTTAGTGGTGAATTGAAAGCGGTAATGTGCGAAAAGCGTGAACATTCGTCGTGAGGCGAAAAATTGAAAAGAATTCGACTTGTGTTCGGTAGCCTTCTGCTTCCAATCAGAAGGAATGTACTGAGAAATTGGGTAGCCTGGCATCACCTGCCACATACGCAGTTCTGGGGTCAACTCCTGGCTAGGCCACCTCCTGGCCTAACTGAGTTTTCTAGCCCTCCGTGGCCGATAAATTTTTACCAGTCTTGCCTGGAAAGACAAAACCTTGTATATCAGTTTGCACGCAAGCCATGTCAGACTGTATCTTAATTGTCCCTAGACTGAAGAAGTTCAATGCGTGGCGCGCTTAACACGTTCCGGACCGCGTGACACACATGGTGTGTCACACGTTTTTCTCTCTGCGCCATTCATAGAACCTATTGGCATTTTATTCAAGCTCCGAAGATATCAGAACACATTCTCAGAATACAAATATATCGGCACTATTCAACTATTACTACCCCAGTTTTGCCAAAACAGGGCGGATCTTGATCGACTTTTTTCTACGAAAGCGGATTTGTGAAATTAGGGTTGTCGATAGATAATTCGAAACCTCCTGAACACGAAATAACATCCATCTGCCTGAAAGTGATGGCGCCCGCGCCAGAGCGCCAAGCGTAATTGGAGCGTTTTGCGTCGGCGCCCGTTGCCGCGATCTTCGAAGCAGATTTCAGGCCGAGCGATGTGGTATTCGTGTTCAGCGAGCGGCGAACATCTGGGTACAAGTTTTCAGCGGATTTGGTGATCCAGGGTACTTTGGCACCGGCGCCAGGCATTTTCGCAGAGGAATGGATGTGATATTCGTGTTCAGCGGGCGCGATTACTCTAGAACGCCAACTTTCACGCCAATGCTGCCCCCGCAGAAAAGTCGATCAGATCCAGCCTTTTCGGAAAAGTGGGGTAGCTAATTAGATTTGATAAGTGCCCAAATATCATACGAACAGTCAAAGGGGACCAGGCTTACTTTAGTCAAACTTTGCCTAGTTCTGGAAACTAGCCGTGAAGTGTATGTGTCGTGGGTTTAATTTGTACAAAAAAAGGCTTTCCTAAATATTTCAATCACTTGTATGACTTTTTTGTCCTGCTGCTGTTAGCCAACAGAGGGTGGTTGGGTGCGAGAAAGTTCAGAACGTTGGGGTTACTTATGTGTCACGTTCCCGCTCGAAGCAAAGTTGAACTAAATCTTATCATACAAAAACTTTCCCAAAGCATCAGAGCATGGTTCAAACTGATTGTCTAATTGGCGATAGTAAACCCCTCAAAAAGAAGGATCCCACTCAAAAATACAAACTACTGCAATGTTGACCATTTTTCGCAGTATTTTGTCATCGAGCGAATGGGGATAGACCTATAGGGTGAATGAAGTAGAGAAAATAATTCCGAAATTCTTGTTGTGACCAACGTGCATCCTATTTTCAGCGACAGTATGCGATCCATTGATGGAGATGGCGCTTCATGAAAAACATTCTTCAGAAAGGCCACATACATGATTGTTGAGGCGGTTTGTCCATCAGCCGCCGTCAAACCAGGGCATGACTTTGCGTCGTCTCTATTTGCAATTTTCTTTCCGAGATTTGTAATGCTCTAATGCCTAGGACAGGACGTAGCTCAGGGTGCAGTGTGAGACTGCACTTTTAAGCACGGCACTACTCCGTGAAGACTCTTATGCCGTGCTGAAGGCAGCCTTCTAAGTATTGGCATAAACCTAGCTCGCCCCCCCTCGCCCCCCTCCGCGTTCAAGTTATGCTGTGCAAAACATGGGTTACAGGGCAGTTTTAACCGGACATGCTCTCGCTGTGAGGGTCCGGAGATATTTTTGTCATGGCATCTGCCTGCCCCAGCTAGTTGAAAGGGAGAAACAGGAGGGAAGAGAGAAGGAAGAAGGAAAAGAAGCTTCGCCATTGACGAATATCCTGGACGCATGCGCTCCTTTCTGTGACATTTCATTTCGTGGTTTGAAGTAACCTCAACGGCAAAAATCTCCTTTATGTCGGGTGAGGAAGGGAGCAGAGTTGATGACAACGTGTAATTCACTTTCCTGGAATGTTTGGTGTTTCCATTGCCAAAGTGGATAGATTGCTGCATATATTGCCGTATTGTTTGCGCCGTGAACACTGTTATGACTGATGCGCTGATTCACTTTGTGGACGAGCATCATGCGTGATATTAATCGCCATGCAGCGCATTCATGATTGCGAGCATAGGGTGTTTATATGTATACCTCCATAGAACTCTAAGGACCATCAAGAAAAGTTCAGATTTGTTACTTTTTTGTTTTCCATGTTTGAAAAATGGGAACTAGGACATTTGCGAAAGCTGGGCCCGTTCGTAAGAGTGGTGTTGAGATCGAGGTGCCCGGAAAGCGCCCTAAAAGACACCCCAAATAGCGCTGGGTCGCCATTCTCCTTGAATGCTTGAGATGATTGGGCCCTCCCCGGCTAGGCATTCGATCGCGTATCGTGATATAGAAGATATTATACCAGAAGCATGGAACCCGTTACATGGGACTCAATACGAAGAACTGGGGCATATGAGACTTCAAGCGAGGTCTACTTCAATTTCTCTTTGTCCTAAAAAGGGTAGCCCGCAAGCGCTGACATATTATTTTACTGGTTTTGTGCACGTTACATCAGCTCTCCCTTATTACTTTGAAGCTTTTCCTTAGGAAGAATTTCCGCGATCAAGTGTTACGGGTAGTAGATGTTCACTCATGAACCATAGCCCATAAGTAACTCCCCAGTAGACAAGAAAAACCTTGGGAACACTCTGAACAGAGACCCCCTTAGCAGTGGGCACCTTGGACGAGTTTGTCGGACGTCGGCAAGCCCAATCAGCAGGATTCGACGTGCAGCCAATTCCGGCAAGAGCACAGGAAATCGCCTACGACGCTCCAGGCAACGCTATGTACACACGCGATTCCGCTTGTAAGCCGTTGTCTTGCAGAGTGAAAGTAATCGTGGTTGCAATGGTTGCAATAATCACGCGTCTCTAGCTTCTTTATCTCGCCGTTTCGAGTGACGAAAGTGGTATATTCTCTGCGAATGATGCCAAATGCACGGAGGCTTTTCGCGAGCCTCTTGATCGAGGAAGCTGTCTTTAATTGGGGCCCTCTCAAGCCGTGCTGATTCATTTTTTACTTTTTAATGGCTTAAACTATTTAATTTTGTTTTTAAGGTGCATTGTGGTAAAGCACAATGAATAAATACAGCGCAGATGTTTTTTGAAGCGATGAAGCGAAACAATCGGTGTGTAGTAACCAACTACTGGGATCCTTAAGATGCATCCGACAAGTTTTGGTGAAGTACTGGTTGTCTAAAAATAATGTGTCACCATCGAAGGGAATCATTTATATCTCTGAGTGCAAAAAGCCTTTTGGAAACAAGCAGTCAGCCAAAGTAATTCATCGCTCATCGTCTTGGAGGGGCATTTCGCATTTTCATTAGTTCCTCTTGATAATTCATTGTAGGTAACAGGTCTCATTTTGGGAAGGGTCTATAAACTCTTGCGAAGCTCTGAAATGTACAAGTGAGCCAGTATAGCGGCAGGGATTCCCAGGTCTCCACAAGGCAGCATGTACAGTCTTTGCTGAGTACCACTCGGAGTCCCCACCAAGACGAATGGCTCAATTCGATAATAAAACATCCAGAACCAAGATCCAACAGAACCGAGTGAAAATGCGACTTGAAATAAGTTACAGTCAAGACTTATCAACTGAAATCTCCTTTCTGACCAATTCTTTTTGACGATCGCATATGTTCCAGGACTGCAAACTGCTTCTAACCGAACCGCCATTGAATCCTAGTAGCAACCGTGAGCGTTTATTTCAAGTGATGTTCGAACAATATGGTTTCCATTCTATTCATGTCGCTGTACAGGTGAGTGATTTTTGATTCCTTTTTTGTTTTTATATTGTATTTTCCGCTGATTTTTTTTCTGCAGTCATACATAGCATTATAATGTTCTCCTAATCATTAAGGTGTCTATGGTAGTTGTGACTTTGTGCATATTAGCGTTATACATTGTTGTCTCTGAATTCCCATATTTTTTTCGTGTCTCATACTAAATGAGAGGCAAAAAATCTGTAGAACTCGAGGGAGCCTGATGTGTTTGCGTCAGCTTGTAGCCGATGTGTGGTTTTTCACGGAATTAGTCCTGTATTGGTTCTTGAAAGCTGCCGCTTTGTCCCTGGGAAAAATCATTCGTTGAGCCCTGTGCCCAACGTCGCTATGGTTCATTATTTGGTTTCCGTAGTATCAGAACACTGGGTTCTGATGCACGTTGCCTTCGCGATAAGCGTTGTTAGTAAAGAAATGAGGTTGATGTTACTCCCATCATTTCTCTACTAACTGTGGCTGCGGACCTATCCGCTTAAACGGTGGAACAACTGGTGAGTCTGCTTCTTGCGGTACTGGCGTCTTCTCGAGGGTTCCTGACCCTACGTCGGAACCGCTAGATTCGACGAGGCGCTTGGTGGGGTAGGTTGCGAATCTAAAACTTGAAACATGTTCAGGCCTCTGAAGACGACGATTGAGTCGAAACGTTAGGCCAATTAATAAATGTTCCACCTATCAACCTCGTAAGGCACAAAACAACTGAAAGACTTACAACTAAGATGCCGAGGTTGCAAGAAGAGAGAAGCTGGAGAATACTGACTTGAGCATCGGCTGGCGCCCGCTAGACACTGTATTAGCCATATCGCTTTCAATAAGCCCCTTGCGATTCCTAATGGATGTAGAATACGTGTCGCATCCCAAACAAACGTTGATCAGGGCCCAAGAAATCCTTTCATCCTCTACCCGAACTTCAGAGCATCCGTTTGTCCCGTCAGTAAAGCGCTCCTTAAACAGTGTCTTTTTTGACTAATTTCGTATTTACTCCCCTGCCTATGCATTTGTGGAAATCAACTTTGCCCCACACTTTGGAATTGGAGCCATATTTGGTTGGGATTCCCTTATGAAGTAGTTTTGACAAATACTTCGTCTCACCAGGAGTTTGACTCCCGGAACACGAATATCTGAACTGTTTGAAGTAGTAGCGTCGGGAGCCAGCGCCACAGGTTGTTTCGGCTCCGGCGCCGGAACGAACGTTCTTGTCAAGCGCTTCTGAGAATATTTTTCAACAATTTTGGTGATTGGCTTTTAAGCGTTGTTACTTCAGTGTCTGTGGCTCGGGCAGAAGGCGGTTTCGAGCGAATCAGGTAAGATGGTCGTGCTCAGAGGGTCAGGCTAGCTTTGGAGCTAAGTGTTACCGAAACATATCCACAAGGGAAATTCCTGTTGAAATATGATAGAAAAAATGGGGTGGTAAAGTGTAAATAGTGCTCATATATGT